ATTCGTGTCAATGTTTTCATATTTAAGGGTTTGTTTGGGGGGCAGGTGCAGCTTATCCAAATAAGCAGCTTATATTATTCAAATTTGATGTCCAAAATATTTGGATTATCGCTGTCAATTTGGCTTGTTGTTCGTGAACAACTCGCGTTCGGCTCGTTCGTTAAGCCACACTAAAATATCAAAACTCAAAATAAAATCCCAACTCATAGTTTTCATTTATGTCAAATTCTCGATGATTTGATTGTGAAAAGTACCGGTGTCGAAGAATCTCGTTATTCGTAAACATCTCGTGTTCGGCTTACTTGAAATAAAGGAATTATATACATTTATATCTATATTTTAATCACAATAGCTCATGTGGCCATATGGTTTGGGTTTATTTTCTTGCACAGAAATAGTGCAGGTTAGAATCCAACTCTCTGCATATACTTTTTTCAAATTAATTTTAACGAGTTAGTTTTGAGTCGAACATAAATAAGAATATTTAAATCGAGCCGAATACGAACACACTGTTTACGAGCCGATCTCGAATACGAGCTATTTCGAACGAGCCGAACACGAGCCAAGCCTGAGCGAGCTCAAGCTCGACTAGTTTACAACACTAGTTTGGATAATGTTTCAAATCTTATATAAATTTCATAACTTAATGATATATATTTTTTAATAATAATTACTGATAAGATAAAATATCGAAACTAACAAATAATTTCAGAGAAGACTAATAAAATAAAAAGAAAAATCCTAGCCGCAATCCAGGCTACATACATCCCTCGCAAAAAGAAATATATATATATATTTATATAATAGTAATCTACATACATCCCTCGCAAAAAGAAATATATATATAATAATAACAAAAGTTTTGATTTATTTATTTATTACTTTTATAAGCTTATCCTTCGGATCCTCAGCTAGGAGTTAGCCAGCTTGGTGGAGGGGAGAAGAGAAGTGGAGAAAGAATGGCTTCGCCGGCGATCACCGTGAAATCCGAAGAAGAATGGAAAGCGATTCTGTCGCCGGAGCAGTTTAGGATTCTTAGGGAAAAAGGAACAGAGTAATTTCTCTCATTCTTCTGCCTGCCTGAAACTGCAGATTTCTCTTTGTGTTCTTTTGATATAAAATCTTGTGGGTTTTGATGGTTTCGTTGTTGTTGGATTTAGTTTTGGAGGGGGTTTTTAATGAGCGTTTATTTGAGTAGATTGAATGCGAAAGTTCTTGTTAGGGTTTTAGATTTGATCAGTATGATTTAGGCTAAAATTTTGGCAATAAATTTGATTAAAACGCCCGTATTCGTTGAATGCAGAGTTTATTGAATCCCATCATTCTTCACAGGATTTAAGGATTTCTTCTCTCTTAAAGTTTTAAGATCTGAATTAAATGGCCAAATAATTTATTTGGATTTATGAAGATTTAATGGTTTTCATGGCATATAATTTTTAGATTTTTAATCCTTTCAAGATTTAATAGGAACTGTTGGTTATTTATAATATGTTGATAATCAAATTAATCTGATAATCTACAGATTATCAGAAGAATAAATTGACTTACTGTTTTGAGCAGCTTATTTAGAACAACATACTGGCTTACTGGCAGCTGTTGCATATATATTTTCACCCCAAATTTAATAACTTGTATTTAGAATTTGTTAGATTTGGAAGATTTCTAAATGAACTACGAAATGAAGCCCATATCGCTCCCCACTTGTCGGCCATCGACATTGGGCAGTTTGACATCCTCCGCCATCGACTGCCATTGCTCCCACCGCCAGTCGCTCGCCACCATTGACCGTGTTTTACATTGACTTCAGTTTTCATAGAAACAAACACGGAACTCCATTTATTTTACACATGCAAAGTATTTCAAATACACTGCATTTCTTTTTCAACAAACAAAATAGACTCGAAATATGAATTTAAAAAATTCATTAAAACCCTACATGAGTTGAATGCTTTTTGAAGCCTCAAGGATTTACTACATCCCAAAATTCATCAATTCATATAACTCTCGTATGTTGATGTATGTTGGATCTAATAAATTCAGTGATAAATCTTATTAAAACCCCCCTCTACCAAACAACCCCTTTATACTCATGATTTAGTAAATCTTATAAATTTAAAATTAGCAAAATATGAAAGATTAAATTTTGAAGAATGTCATGCATAATAGATGTGAAATATGGTTAAATCCTAATAAATTTTCTTGACATATGTTCTTAGGATACCAAATGAAAAAGGAAAAGTCATGTTAATCCCTTAAATCCTAATAACTTTAGTTTTATGTATTTTATATGTTTAGAAAACTTTTGTTGTTGCTTACCATGATTTTCGTATTTTCAAACATTTCATCTAATCTTGATATTTTTCGCATTCGAACTCAAAGGCCACGTGGCACTGGCGAGTATGATAAGTTCTTTGAGGAAGGTACATACCGGTGCACCGGTTGTGAAACACCTTTGTACAGATCAACTACAAAGTTCGATTCCGGATGCGGCTGGCCGGCTTTCTTCGAGGGCCTACCTGGAGCCATAACTCGCTCGGTGATTATACTAAACATTTTACATGAGTCAAGATGAGTTTTCAACAATCGAATTTGTTTTGAGACGAATGCAATAAGAGTTGGATCATTTGTTATCAAAACAAATTTAATAGATTGGAAAACTCATCCTGATTGTGTTCTTTTTCTTTTTAGAATTGTTGTGAATATTTAAATTTAAAAAAAAAAATTTAACTTTTTCTTTTTAGAATTGTTGTGAATATTTAAATTAAAAAAATTTGTTTTTTTTTTTTTGTTTTTGGCAGCCTGATCCTGATGGGAGAAGAACAGAGATAACCTGCAGTGCCTGTGGAGGACATCTTGGCCATGTGTTTAAAGGAGAGGGATTCAACACAGCAACAGATGAGCGCCACTGTGTTAACAGCGTTTCAATCAAGTTTGCTTCAGAGTCCAGTTCCTGACTATTTTCTGCTACTCTACCTGTTTTTTTTTCTTTTCTGAAGCGCATTTCTCTTTATGAACCATTTATTTTCACTTTAATTGTGGTGTGTAAGAGATTCAAACTCTTTGTTTATTACATTTGATGATTGTTAATGTCATATTATATAAATTAGGAGGGTTTACATTCATAATGCAGAATTTTTATTTATTTACATAATATAACATTTATATTTACTTGTGGTATACTCAATATTTTAATTTAAATAAAAAATGTCACTAATATGAACTTATTGAGATTTATATGCACACCTCACAATTCTTATGTATGCACATCTCACACCTAAACTTTGATATCTGTTCTCGCAACACTTTCCTGTTACAATCATATAAAAATATTTAATATTATGTGATAAACTTTGATCTTTGCATATGCTACACTTTTGTTACAATCATGGTGGATATATATATATATAATTCTTTTACATGGTTATGTGTTGAATCTTGTGCTTACATTTTTGTCCATATATATGCATGAAAAATATGTATTTTCACTTTTTTTTTTTAAATTAGAAGTGTTATTTTAGCTGTGATATGGGCAGAAATGTAGGTATGTAAATGGATAAGAGTTAAGAGGTATGTATGTAAATGTGCATATATAATTTAATATTTATTTTATCATATATATGTAATTCGACAAATATCTCAACTATATATTTATGAGAAAAAATATTAGTAAATTAACAAACTCACTTCACAAATTTCTTCTCCTTCACATAATACTAGCAAGCTTGTTGTTCATAGCTCGTGTTCTACTTATTTTAACTTAAAATAATAAAAAAAATTATATATAAATTTTATAATTATATCTAAATTTAAATCTTAATAGCTTGCGTGGTCATATGATTATGCACCTTCCATTGATTCAAGTTTAAATCTAAAATCTTACGCCTAATTTTTTAAATTAAATTTAGCAACGTAAATTTCAAGTCGAACATGAATAACAATATTTAAATCAAACCGAACACGAAAACACTGTTCATGAACTGATTTTAAAGCGAACAATTTCAAACGAGCTGAACACGAGCCAACCTTGCGCTTGCTCAAGCTCGGGCCGTTTACGTCCCTAGTTCCATCAAATATAACACAACCAATAAGAGCAATAGGGATAAATAAGCAAAAAAAAAAAATCTTCTAAATTATTTTATATCCCCCTAATTCTAAAATATTTCAAATATATTATATTTTAAATATGCAATACTTTTTTGCTCCATACAGCCTTTCAACAAATCAAAAGGCCCATAATAATCAACAATATAAGAAAGTATGTTGCGCATAAAAATATAAACTATAAGCAGATTTCTTTTTTTTCTTTCATGTCCATGTCCACACCCAATTCCTTTGTATCCACATATCTAACACATAAATTTTATCTATTACATTTATACCACCCAAATCTTGAATATGACAATACAAGCATAACCACTTACTTCTAAAAAGTGAAACGCACGTCTTCAAGCATAAGTAAGGTGGTATGCATGTAAAGATTGAAGTTTAGGTGTTACACAAGTAAATACATAGAAATTCAACGGAAAGTGCATAGATTTTCGTAAATGTAAAATATCATTGTAGGAGAAAGAGGCAGCCCATCTCAAGGAATAAGTTGAAATGATCAACTCATAAAATATTATAATCTCAAGGAATAAGTTGAAATGATCAACTCATAAAAGTGGTTGGGACAAGATACTGAATATATATAGTTCCCTAAATTACAGAAAAAAAAAAAGGAAAATTTACATGCATACCATAATTCTTATGTATTTACAAATATAATTCCTAAAGTTTGCTATCTACATTCATAATACATTGCTATCAAAAACCTGGAAAAAATATTACATACGAGCTTGAGCTTCGGATGCATCCGGAGTCCAATGGTGGGCCGCCACGTGTCATATAGGCCCCACTACTTTTAACTGTGGTCAATACCAGTGTATTGTGGTGGGGCCCATTTGACACATAGCGCCCCACCATTGGACTCCAAATAGCGTCCAAGAGTCCGTATGTAATATTTTCTCCAAAAACATGTGCATGAGTGTTATATTTCTAAGCAAGATGAAACAACCTAATGGTAAATTAGCTAATTGCAATTTAATTTCTATGATGTCCTTTATGAGCTTGCAAGCAAAACTTAAAGTATTACTTTTCTTTTTCTCTAAAGAATCAAATCAAACCAACCAAACTTATCCAAATTCCACCCCCAAAAGTAATATTGAAAGCATTTAAAGAAAGGGTTGACAGAATTAATGCCCCAAAAGTAAAGCCCAAAAACCACCCGGGCGCTAAAAAGGTGTGGGTCATCCCATGATATATATATATATATATTGTGTGTGCTGTTTACCGTGACTCTTAGGTTAGCATCTGCGAAGTCAATTCTAAGACCCATGAGATCACAGGTTCGAGCCCGCCTATGTGCGGGATCGAGTGGTTAGGCACATGTGGTTGAATGAGGGCTCGTATCATAGCCTCTAGCCAATCTTTTTAATATATATAACAATTTTTCTATCGGGTTTTATATATAATATTAATAAAAATTTACATTTAAGAACTATTTTGTAATTTTTAGCTGGACAGAGAGAGAGAGAGAGAGAGAGAGAGAGAGAGAGAGAGAGAGAGAGAGAGAGAGAGAGAGAGAGAGAGAGAGAGAGTCATGTCGGTTAAAAAAGTGGTTTCCTGTTGTATATTTTTCCTGCCGAAATAGAACATATATAGAATCCACGAGGATCATGACGATCTTGCAAATGGTGGAAAAATACTGAACAAAATCTAGAAGGCGAAGGTATGGCATCTTTGCGAATGTTGGCAACATTAATATGAAAAATTCAAAGGAGAATTCATACGCATGGCATCATAACTAACCATCTAAAATTGCATACAGGTGCAATTTATTAAATTATAAAAAAAAAATTAAGCAAACAAAAACAGCTAATTAAAATTTATCAAAGGGTTCTAACTCAAGATTATGGGGGGAGAAGTCACATGTTTAATTTCAGCCTTTAACACTCTTTAAACTATAAATTTACTAGCACTTCGATTGAAATTTCGCTGTAGACAATTTTGTGCTCTTCTTATATGTAATTGGCCCCATTCTTAATTATTTGTAAATAGTTTATACCTACTTTTGATTAATAAAAATATTTCAGATAGTTTTCTAACCTTGGGGAAAAAAAAACATAATAAAAACTTAATTTTTTTTGTTCTCAAAGGAAAAATTTTACTCAATCCTTTTTTGCAAACATAACTTGGAGAAAAAAACTAAGTAAATGTTTTTTTTTTTTTTTTCAAAGTGAGTCATCAACCTTGGTGGCCCTGGAAAGCTTAGCTAGATAGATGGATGAAAACAAAGCACAGAACAAAACTTTAAGGTTTAATCCCAGGTTCCCTATTCCAGCCGATCTTATCAAAATTTGAAGTATAGAAGAAGTCCAATTCAGCAAAAAATGAAATAGGGGGATTTACATACCTAACACATAATTCTTATGTATTTACATATTTAACGACCAAATTTTAATATTTCCATTTGTCCCACCTTGGTGCATAAACTTATGCATGAAAGTATGCATTTCACTAATTTTGATGTGATGTTAAAAAAAAAGATACTATGTATGTAATTATGAATGATTAGGCGTTAGATATGTAAATACATAAGAATTGTGCAGTGTGTATGTAAATGCCCCAAAGAAAAAATGACATGGTTTGACCGGACTAAATGTTTGTGGCGAAGGGAGACTCACTTCCTACTTCAGTTTTTATTTCCAGTACTTAAAAAATGGTCTCTCACATTATTATTAAAAGAAAACAAAATGGTTGAACTCTTCAAACAGAAAAGGAAGGCTAAAAAACCTGGCAGATATGTCATCTTCGGCGCTTTGATTCCCTTCTTGTTTCTGCCATGTAACTCTCCATATTAGCTCTGTCCCATAAACGCTTCATAATAAGATCCTTCTTCGCAGATTCATCTGAGCATTAAGAGTTCACATCAACAAAAATAAAAAACTAAAAATAAATAAAAGTGAGACAAGCAACTGATATAAGGCCGTTAAAATCAAAAGCATTACTGCAAGTGAAATAATTGAAGTAGGTAATGCAATAGCTTACTAATTCACTTCAACTAAGGTGAAGTTAGGTGTGTAATCTACTATAATCATTTGGATCTCAAAGTCCCGGATAATTTTTTTTATTATTATTTTTAGAGAATGATGACTATCAAATCAATATCATATTCACAATTAATCGTCTATATTTAATACTAAATTGTGCTATAATACAAGAGAAAAAAAAAATAAATGGCTGCAAATCATCACTCCAGTTTCTTATTCATTCAAAGAGATGTAGAGATGAAGATCGGAGAAGAGAACTCTGAGATCGGATATTGGTAGTTATCTTCAGCCAATGTTATTCAAAGGAATTTCTCAATTGATAGTAGAAAATAACTGCTCAAGGCTTAAAGTAGATATTTGAAACTAAAAGTTATTAAGAAGAATCAACACTCTCACAAGGCTAGTGACTTGTGATGTAGTTCAACATTGAAGGCGATTGACTTTCCTCAATCTCTAAAGAGCCGTAGAAGATAGAAAAAGAGGAGGGAAAAGAATACTACTACAACAACAACAACAATCCTTTATCCCACCAAGTTGGGTCGGCTACATGAATCTTTTTTCTCCATTGCTTCCTATTGAGTGTCATGTTTTCAATTAATTCTAATAAATTAGATCATTTTTTATACAATACGCCCACGTCTTTTTAGGTCTACCTTTGACTTACTTAACATAAGCCGAATCTAAAACAACTACTCTCCTAATCAGATCATCAGATGGTCAATGTTTAATGTGAGCAAACCATCTAAGACGCCTCTCTATAATCTTTTCCACCACTAGAGCAACACCAACCCTATCACGGATATATTCATTTCGCATTTTTGTCTAAGTGTCAAGCCACTCATCCAACTAAGCGCAATCTTATCTTAGCAACACTTGACTCTTCTCTTTTAAAGGCCAACATTTTGCGTCGTAGAGCATTACAGGTCTTACAACTATCTTATAAAATTTTCCTTTTAGTTTAAGCGTTACTTTTTATCACACAATAGGCCCGATGCATTCCTCCACTTCAACCAACCAACTTGAATTCTACTAATAACATCCCGTCTATATCACCATGGAACGAGAGGCCGAAGATATCTAAAACATTCACACCTTTTAATGATTTAATCACCCATAATTACAACTCTATCACTAGAACTACTACAACTAAAATTACATTCCATGTATTCTCCATGTATTCTACATTCCATGTATTCCGTTTTAGTTCTACTCAAACGAAGGCCTTTAGACTCCAATGTAGACCTCCATAATTCAAGTTTTTTTTTAGCTCTTTATCTAGTCTTATCCACAAGAAAGATATCATTAGTGAAAAACATACACCAATGTACATTCATCTCTTTCTCTAGTCTTATCCACAAGAAAGATATCATTAGTTAAAAACATACACCAATGTACATTCATCTGTAAATGCCCATTAAGAGCATCCATAACTAAAGCAAAAGGATATGGGCTTAAAGCCAATCCCTAATGTAATCCAACTGAAATAGAAAAATACTTCTTGGTCAATCCTCCTCCTTTTCGAACACAGATAACAGCTCTAGTATACTTATACATATCTTTAATGACTTGATTATAAGTCATATCAACATCTTTTTTCTCTAGAGCTCTCCAAAGGACCTCTCTTGGAACCTTATCGTAAGTTGTTTCTAAATCAATAAAAATCATATAATTATTTGTATTATATTTTGTTTTTTATCTAGTAGTGAGCTTTTATCCCTATGAAAATTGGTGGTTTTACTTCATAATAATAGCATTCGTACAAGTAAAACTATTATTTTATTGATTATCATGCAAATAGTATTTTGTACTTTGACATGGGTTATGCTCCACACACCTGTTGATCCACCTTGTTGGTTCAAATTCAATAACAGTTCCTTGAGCCTGCAGCTTACAAAGATGTATTCATCATATTCCTAGCAATCATTATTGGTATCGTGATGGACTTAAAAAACTAATGCACTTATATGTTTTCTAATATGACATATTGATCAGATTTTTATGATTCAGTGTTTTTTTCCTGAGGCATTCCCAAGCCTACAGTCATGTTCATATGGTCGATATACAAATTATTGAGTTAGATTCACAAACATACCCTTAATCGTGATCAATGATAACCAAATCGTCCATTATTAGCTGAGTTACCTACTAATATATTGACTTACGATGATTAGTGATGACCTCCTTTTGACCATTCTAACTCCTTATTTCCTAGAATATTGAAAGATGTCCTCCAAAAAAATTCTCTTTCCTTAATAGACAACAATTTAGGGCATGTGTGCTCACGTAGCTCTTCAAAAAAAGATTGCTTTGCAGTACAAGAGAATGATGCGAAGACATCACTACCATCACCATATCAACGAAACAATGATCATGATCAACATTAACAGCTTCCATCATCACTAAGGTATTAGTGTGACTCAAAATGTTTTTTTTTCAATTTATTTTAATTAAAAAAATGAGTACCTTTTACTTTGTCATGGCAACGTAGTCCTTTGAACTTGTTGATCATTATTTCACTTGTTTGGTTTTTTAGGCATCATGATTAACATGGGTATTACAGAAACCTTCATGGTCAAAAATTGAAAAAAATGATTGATTAATACCCTATTTAGTCTAATCTGGATTCAATCATCAAAATAACAGAGTTCTTCTAGTATCTCTATATGAATCAGTCATCAATATCAATCTAGTGTTTCTAAAAGCATGCTTAAGAGCACGCAATTTTGGAGCTGAGAGCTGCAACTCGTTAAGTCACAAGGTGACTTGCCATAGGAAAGCACATTGAGATGGGAAAGAGCCGCGGCTTGTTAAGTCGTGAAGTTACTCTGTTGCGGAGTTGCAGAGGATTTCATTAATTGATGAATTTACACCAGTCAATCGTCTCCACTTAAAAAAGTGAACTCTTTCTCTCACTTCTTCACTCTCCTCTCTCTACACCGACATACACCAAAGAAGAAGAAAAACGTATAAGAGAAAATATATTTGTCTTCTGCCGCAAGCCTTCAAGAAAAAACAACATTCTTCTTCCTTCTGCAAAGCACGCCGAAGCCTGCTATGTTGCGTCCTTCCTTTGGTTCGCATCTCACGCCCTTTTTTTCTCTGCAAGGAGTTCCGCCTTTTGCCTTTTTCTTTTTCCCGTAAGCCACACACGCACGCAACTAATTTTTGGAGAACTGCTACTTAAGAACCTGCCAAATACAATTTTATTCTGCTTAATTCTTAAAGATGGCGGGAAAGGTTTTTACTTGAAGAGGCGGGATCAGTTGGAAAGGAAATGAGAGGATGCAGCCTTTTAATCTCAAAATTTGCCTGATATAAGTGGGCCAGACTCCACTTTCATACTCTTCATAGGAAATCACTTTAGAACGCACGTGTTGGGCGATGCTCAATGCATTATTGCTTCAAAATGCCCCCCTTAATTGGTTCTCAAAAACAAATACATACCACCTCTTGAAATCACTAGTCCAGGGTGATTCTTCTCTCCACCCAATTTTTCTCCTAATTTTGAAACCCTAAAAGAACACAATTCATTGATAAATATTCTCCTCTCGTGATTCTTCTCATGTCATTCTTTGTCACTGGAGAGTGGGTTGATTTGTTAGTATTGTTTAGATAAAATCTTTCCCATACTATATATATTTGATTCTTCCTTCGACTTTCAAATCATTGTATTCCTTTTATTGGAGTTCCTCACTTATCTATCAATTTGATTTTGCATTCATGGCACTCATCTTTAACCCTCATTTTACTGTTTGGGCATTCTCAATAGTGCCACACACTCCTTGACTTTTAAAATAACAACACTTAGATTTATTTTCTTAATTTTGTGTTAATTGTTTATAATTTTACTTGTTGATATTTAACTTAAAACGTCATGAATTAGTCAATAATTTGATAACTTTGAATTGTATGGGAAGTTATTGAATTATAGAAAAATACATAAAGTTTCCTATGATGTGTGTTTTGATAAATAGAAGCACAAGTTTGTGCAATGAGCTTCAAAGAGAAAAAATCATTTGCATGTCACATTGTAATTTATTGACAACCTTGATTCCATCATTCTCCAATTTTGAAATTGGAATAGCTTTTTGCTGCAATTTATTCTCTATTTTCTAAGGAATCACGAATATAACATACAAATAAACCAAAAAAAATTAGCTTCGTTGGTTACCCATGTTTTTCCATGCATCGTGAGGCACTCTGAGGCAAGCCTGTGTTAGATAACTAGCATCATCCAACGTTAACGGAGCCTTCATTATCCTATATCTCCAGATCCAACAGAATTTCCAAAGCAATATCTGAAGTTAATGTAACAAAAAGCATATCAGTAAAAACATTGTATCGACTACAAGAGAAGCTACCAAAACAGATGAAATATTAAATCCTACTGAGCATTAATCTGGTTTTAGGGAAATCAATCACCTTGCCAACAACGTAAGGTAGAAGGATAAACTGGACAGCAAAAATGTTCCATATAGTGGGTTTCTCAGCTCCTTGAATTTGCAAGTCAAGTTCATTGCTAAGTTCCTCTTCCCCCTTCCTGACCAAAAAAAAAAAAACGATGAGTGGTTTATTTTTGCCCATCTAAGAACATTACAAATTTTGTAAATAGCATCAATTTGTTTAGCTGTCTCGAAATGAAAATTGAAATCTTAAAAAAATACAGAAGGAACATAACAAAGATGAAATCTTGAACCATTAAGAAAAGGTTAAAATCATTTTCACATCAGATGAATTAAAAGAAGAATAGCAATAATACCAAGTATTAATGCTTTTGGAAGATAAAAGCACGTGATAGAAAAATGGGCGGGCGCTTGGAAACTGCATGACATATGCAATTTGTACAATATATACCACGCTATAACACTTTAATTAAAAAAATAAAGAAATTTTAAAAAAAACTAATTGCTTTCGCATTTTATTCTTAT